AAAAAAGAACAAGACGAAGAGAAATAATCTCCCATCTTGGAATCAGTTCCAGTCAAGTCGAGTTTATTATTCAGGTTGTTTTTTTTTTGCAAGAAAAGAGAAAAAGAACAGAGAAAAGGCAAGGGTGCTCCTGATTTTTTTTCGTTCTTATTGTATCTGTACTTCATGTGAACTAAATTAACAATAATAAGGCAAAGTCTGCTGTAGTTTTCTATTGGTCCATTCGTAGACCAGTTAAACAAATTTTTTCATTCATTCATAGTATTTTTTCTCTCTCTAGCAGAGTGAATCATATATACACACAACCATATTGTACAAAGGATCAGAGTACACAAGAGACGCCAAAAAGAAAGAAACGAGGAAAAAAGGTTCTCTTTTGGTAAAAAAAAGAAAAATAATAATGACTAAAAAAGAAACGACAAGGCATCTAAAACGCATGCAGACACAGTTCAACACAGGCAGAGAGAGAGAAAAAAAAAGAGAATTTGCTAGTCTCATGTAGGAGAGAGAGAGAGAGATCAGTGTTGAAACTGTACACAGCGAAAGAGAGAGAAAATCATTTCTCTATTTCACTCTCTCATATTTCTTTTTCCTAGATTTTTTTTTTACCGTTTCGATCTTGATATGGTTGATAGTGGTATGGTACTATACTAGAGTACGCGTTAATCGTTCATTTTCTTCCTGCAGTGGACAACGGTAAGTCTCGACCTAATATGTTCATTCGTTTCTTTCCCATTACCTGTATACGCGTGTGTGTATATGTGTTCTGTATGAGATTGAATATAAAAATGTATAGTTCATTCCTTTTCTCTTTGTAAATACATGTGACTGTACTATACACAATAAATATCATTAAAATTCTTAATCGAAATACATATCATCATCATTATCATGATTGATTGATTAAAAAGAAAAATATTCTGTTTCCTTGTCATTACAAAAAAAATTGAAATTGATTGACCGATATTTTGATACACGATGTCAGAAAAGAGCAATTTATTTGATCGAGATTTACAGTTAAGACTTCACTTAATGTGTCATCTAATAATTTAAAAAACGTCACAATTTTGTTGCATTTCACTTACATATTTTGCCATGTTTTAGACGATATCTGTGCATTATTGTATAGATTAATATACTGCCTTTTATACTAGCACTATAATTTAATCATTTATTATTTAATATCCACATGTGAGCGTTAAAAAAGAATCTGAATGAGTATATGTGACTTATCGAATGCTAGTATAAGTACAATTGTACAGTAGAAATCTTATTGACAGAAGATATGAGATAAACTGAAATTAAATTTTCTTTAGCACATACTTATTCTAGTCGAGCTGTGGTATAAATGTCTTCTATTTAATGCTAGAATAATATTTGTATGTACTGATTTTTACGTGTATCTTTTCATATTTTTAGGATAACAACAAAAAAAAGCGAAAAATGCAATATTAATAGCATCATTTTTATTTAGTCTTTTTTTTCTCTCAAACCTCAACTAGATCGATCTTCTTTTTCTTTTGTTCGTTTTCTATATTATTATTTAATAATGCTTAGTACAGTTGTATCAGCTGACATTGATCATTCATCGCAATCTTCCACAACTTCATCGTCCTCTTGTTCATCATTATTAGTAACATCACCATCAGCATCATCATCACATGATAGTTTATTAAATTCGCATCATTCAACAACTCAACAAGAAACAATAAATAGTAATCCGTTTGATTTTCATGATTTCAATTTACAACTTCAACAAATGTCATCTACATTTAACAATAATCATGATACAACAAATGGAGATGGTGGTAGTTATGGAATATCGGCATCAATGATAAATATGATGGGTTTCGATCAAGAACATGCAGCATATGCTAAAAAAAGTCAAAATATGACCGAATGTGTTCCTGTACCAAGTTCGGAACATGTCGCAGAAATTGTTGGACGTCAAGGTAAAAACTTAGAAAATATTTTAATACAACATAGTTTTGATCTTTTGGGAATATTTTTCTTTTAGGATGTAAAATAAAAGCATTACGTTCAAAAACTAATACTTATATTAAAACACCGGTAAGAGGAGATGAACCTGTATTTATTATAACTGGTCGTAAAGAAGATGTTCATTTGGCTAAAAAAGAAATATTATCAGCTGCTGAACATTTTTCACAAATACGTGCGGCACGAAAGCAACAAGGAAATAATCAAAATGGTACAATTACTAATAGTAGTAGTAGTAGTAATAACGGAAATGGCAGCAATAATAATATATTGCAACAAAATTCATTACCATCGATTAATAACACTCATTCACATGGTCTTTCAATGCCCGGTAATTTAACAACGACACCAACAACGATGATAAATAAAAATAATAATCATATTTTACCATCAACATCAGCTTCGGTCTCATCTACATCGACAACATCTTCGTGTTTGTCAGCTCCATTGATACAGCCAACATCAAGTTCGTCGCAATCATCCACATCTCAAACAACCATACAGGTATATTTAAAAAGCTGTTTTATAATTTATTAAAATGTTGTCGAACGAATGATAAGTTTCCTTTTGCTAAGTGGGTTTTGAAAAAATATTAAAGCACAATAATAAGTGAAAAACCAAAATTTCATGTGTCTCCTTTTTTTCGTTTTGCTAATCTAGGTTCGTGTGCCATATCGTGTAGTAGGGTTAGTTGTCGGTCCAAAAGGTGCTACCATCAAGCGTATTCAACAAACGACAAATACATATATCGTTACTCCCGGTCGTGATAAAGAGCCAATATTTGAAATTGCTGGTTTACCAGAGAATGTTGAAGCAGCCAAAATTGAAATCGAAAGTCATATTGCTGTACGCACAGGCAACACTGATTATCCTGGTAATCAATCGCCAACAGGTTTAAACGAACAACAAAGTGTTATTAATACGATGAATATTTATGGTAATTTTGTTGGCTCAGATGGAGATAATGATTATGATCACTCATATCTTGGCAACAATAATAATTTATTTTGTAATGGAACAGATATAATTGATTTGAATAATCATTGCTCAAAATTAGGTAAGCACATACTCAAAATATTGAGTACTACTTTATGAACTAGAGATGACAGTACTTTCATTGAATGGTTTTGTTTGAAAAGATCTTCCAGAACCATCTTTCTATTGAAAATTTATCTATTTCGATTTTCTTTACTGTTCGTATTTAGGTAAATTATCGTCTGTTGATAACAATAATAAATTGTCGTCAAAATTTAGTCACCATTTGTCATTACCATTTCATCCATCAAACACACTTCAATCACATCATTCTACAAATGTATTATCTTGCTCAAAAAAAACAATATCTGAAAATTATCAAACATTATCTCAGTCAAATTATTTTCCATTGAATGATTATTCATCAAATATTGCCACCATTAAAAATGGAGCAAATTCATCTTCGTTCGATCATTTACTGTGTGATACATCGTCATCATCAACAACCACAACTACAACAGCTCAAAAGAATAATAATAATAATAATAATGATTTATCAACAATTTTAGATGTTTTAAAAACAAATTCATCATTATTTGCTGATACAATTCCATCATCAACTACGTCTGTTTCATCAGTATGGCCATCAGCTTCTTCATCAACATCAAATTTATTTCCAACAACGATTACTCCACCAGCCGTGACCACGCATTCAACAGCAGCGAATGATGTACAATCGCAAATGTATGGTGGTTCGAGTTCGACTGCATATTTATTCTATATGCCAAATCGTAGTCGTAGTGAATGTAGTATAGAATTAAATAATATGAGAAAATCTTTATCTCCATTTACCACTCCAGGTGTTAGTGGTGGTATTGTGGATAATACTAATCATTCTGAACATTTTCTTATGGCAAATCCACAAGTAATGGATACAAATAAATCATCGGTAAGCATAGTTTTAAGCAAACCTTTCCATCATTTGGTCCCTCATTGTTTGATGCATACTTTTTTGTTCAAGGTTCGTCGTATGCATAGTGATCCATTAGTAAATAATTACTCATATTTACAGTTTATGTCAACACAAGAAAATTTTCCACTCATGTGTAACACAACCGATATAAATAATAATTCATTGATCGACGCATCATCATTATTATTATCACCACCAACAGCCACCGTTGCTCAACAAGATCTATTTTCAACCGTACCATCATCTACGTCAAATACAACAACAAATTCATTAACACCAACTCCAGCTTTATCACTGAATGATCATCAATCATCATTAAATACATTATTTGCTCATGCAGTTCAACGTCGTTTAAATGAATCATCCAACAGTTGTAAAACAACCACAACTACCACAAGTTATTTATCACCATCGTCACCTACTTATCAACAATGTTCACAATGCGGTCAAACAGCATTGGCTTCAACATCACCGTGTGGTCATCTCTGCTATTGTTTTGATTGTGCTGTTCATTCATCAACAACAACAAAATATTGTCCTTTATGTAATAATAATACATTTGGTGCTCAACATGTCACAACATATTGAAAAGGTGTGTGATTTTTCTTTTTCTTTCGTGCACGCAATATAAAATGTAGATGAATTTAAAATTCACATTTTTTTCCTCGTTTTTTCGTTGATTTATTATTGTTGCTGTTGTTTATTTTGCTGCTGCAGATATGAAAAATCTCTAAAACAAAAAAAAAAAAAAATGAGATTTATCTGTTTACAGAGAGAGAATAGTTTATTCTTTTACTTTTTATATACGTATATTCTTTCTATAACAGATATATATTGATGTTTACATTTTTTTTGTTTCATTTTTTAATGTCTGTGTGTGAGAGTGCATGTGTCCTGAAAGAACAACTCTTCTTCTATTTAATAGAGATAAATAAGAGAAAGAGAGAGATCTGCTATTTTGTTTATTTATTTTCATTTTATTTTTTATTTCTACAAGGAATGAGAATACTATCTATTATCTTCTTTTGTTGTGGTTGTTCTAGTCTTAGCTAGTCAAAAAAATAGCAAAACAAACATACATATGGTTTCGGTTAGCACGTGCCATAACCAAATCCTCTAAATAGAAGTATTAAAGAAAATGACCAAGCATGCATAACTTTTTTTCATCAGGGACCTTTCATTTTAGTTGCTGAACGCATTGCTTCAATTTTTTTTTGTTGTTTCATGTTTTTGTTTCACTTATTTATTACTATTTATTTAAAAAGACAAGAAAAAAGTGTTTAGTGTGCTCATTGTCATATATAAGTTTAATAGCACGTGTTTATTTGTTTTTTTTAATATCTCAAACAAAATTTTATTTAGGAAAAAAAGATGTTTTTCTTTAGTTGTATACTGTTGTTAGCCATAGTATGTACATGTTTAATTTTTAGTGTTTATTTATTTTTTTTCTTCTTATTGTTGTTATTCGTAGGGAGTAAGATTGCTCACACACATACATGTAGAGTTTGTTTGGACGCGCCCACACATTATCATTTAGAAATAGTATAGGTTGTTGTTTCTTGTTTGTTTTGTTTTTTTTATTTTTCTATTCATTATTTTGTCTAACTTCGCGGCTTGTTGATGGCGAACAAAATAAACACACATTTATGTTCAGGGATTCAGATTTTTTTTCTTCTTTTCTTTGTTTTATTTTGTGTAGGTAAAACGAACCTCTGTCTTTTTCTGTCATTTCAGGTATCACGCTCTTTTTATATATTTTTTTGTTGGTGGTGTCAAACATCCATTCTGTCATTCATCAGTGTTTGTATGTTTTATTTTATTTTGTTTTTCGTTCTTTCTGTCTATCTCAAAGGTGGTACATATATATATTTTTTCTGTTTTTTTGTTTGTTTATTTGCTGCTATATAGATTTATCGTTTGCTTTTTTGTTGATTTTATCAGCACTACTTCATGCACGCACACACACGTAGATCATATCTAAATAATCATACTCAGGAAACAAAGTATATATATAGATATAGTTTTAAAATAAGAGAAGAAAAAAAAACAAAAAAAATTTTTAAGGTGTGCTATATGGTTTTGATGCGTATATGTGTCTTTAGATACTATTGCTCTTTTTTTTTGTTCGTTTTTCTATTTTTCACACATTGTCAAAAAAAAAACACGTAAACACTTAATAAAATTTACTACCTAAAGATAAATTATACAGCACACTTTGTTATATCCATTTAACATATATCAATCGATAGACTTGAAGATTAGATTAATAATTTACAGATTTCGATATGAGTATAGTGTGACTTCTCTTTGATAGACTACCAATCGAATTTTGAATAGTTCATGGTAGTCATTGGGTGGACGTCTCCAATAAATGTTTTTCCCCTCCTCTCACAAAAAATTTATGATTCACATCACTCTTTAAGATAATATTTAATAATCAGTTGATTGTGTAGATAAGTTCGTTAGATAAACAATATTTTGATTGAATAACGTATGAAAGACTGAGATCTTCTCGATTATGTGTCGAAAAATGTGTGTTTTCTACTCAAGAACAAGCGTCGCATAAAAAACAACTGAAATCTGACTTTCTATTTTTCTGTCTCTGAAAAAATTTGAAGCAATACCAGTCCCCCATTAATAAAAATATCCTGACTACTCCACTAGTTCGTAAACTTGTTAGATCGTAATGTTCGTGAGGTAACTTGTTAAAGTGCTTAAAGACGACTATGCACACTGTTCTTTTGTAGAAATCTATAACCGAAGATCTTCAGTATCGAGAGGATTAGCTTGATAGTTGATGAGTAAATACGGTTCCACATTTACCAAATTTAAATGTGTGTATTTCAATTTTCGTTATCTGTTTAGTCTTTCTGAGACGTCATTGAGTACTTTTTCCTTGCTTACTTTTTGTAAAGGTAATGACCTTGTGTAATATAAAGAGATGGAAAATCTTTAGGAAAACAAATGTCCTTGTTATCTTATTAAACTTGCACCGAGTATGATTATGATCATTATTAGTATTATTTTTATTTTATTTTGTTTGATATATATTTCTTTCGGCTAGAAGAAGATAAAAAAACAATGGGGTTAAAATAATGCAAATATAAACATAGAAGAAGTGTATACATGTGCGCTAAAAACATTATGTCTGTTTAGTATGCAAAGGTTAATGTCGAACAGAAAAGGCAATTTGCAGTTTTTTTTTGTATACAATGGTTGATTTAATTAAAAAGAATGTTTTTGTACAATTCCACGTATCATTGAAGATAAAGACCTTTCCTACGACGATTGCAACCATTTGTACTATCTGTGAACCAAGTTATACTCTGTTTATTAAGAAATTCTTTCTTTTCCAGATGATGAAATCTACTTTTGAAATTTTCATCAGAGTAAACTCTACACTTCATATTCAGAACTTGTTTTTTTACAATCTACATTTTCTATACTGACTTACTCACATAAACTCACACTGATTACTCTTATTTTCATCATTAGTCACAAGGCTGCTACAATCTGAATTGTCAACATATGTATATCGGCAAAAAGAAAATCCGCAAACACACATCTATCTGATGTTATCTAAAGTATATTGATAAGTTGCTGACAAACTTTTTTCATTATTGTTATCTGTGTACTATACTCTACTCTTGTATGTGATATTTGAACATATGATCAACTTAACTTGCAAACTTCAATCATCAACACTTCATATCAATTTTGTCTGCATGTATTCGTTGGTATATAGGCCTCTGATAATGGAAAAAAAAAGAAAGACGTACTTATTTTTTTCCTAACTGCAACTAAACAATATTTTATGGGTTCACCTAACGGTCATTCCTGTAGAGAAAAAAAGAGAGAGAAACAAAAAAACGAGTCAATTTGTCCTTTCTATTTATATATGTATATATGTATCGCGTTTTATGATAATGATAATCATAATGACGTCGGCGACAATTGAGAGTTTCTATTCTCAAGAAGTTAGTTCATTTTACATCGCTTCTTCTTCATTGTCATGCTAATGTCTAACTATATATAATTACTCATACAAAGAGAGAGTTTATCTTACAACTTTAGGAAAAAGTGTTATTGCCTCCAAGCTAAACATTCTAATTTCAATTGCAATGTGTTTTGTGTGCCCTTTGGTGATCAAGTAGTAGTTGAAGTAGGCTCTCTTGGTTTAGTTTGACATTTTCTATCGCTGAGTTTTGTTTTTTTTTCATTTTTTGTATGTCATTAACGATAAGTTAATGGTTATATTACGTCAACTAAATTTAAAATTAGAAATATTACCGAAAGAATACGATTAATTACCTAATGTCAAGTTTTTAAATGTTTGACTGTTTCAACAAAGTTAATGATTCAAATGAATATAAACGGTTAAGAAAACCTTTGAAAGTTGTTTTAATTACGTATATGCTAGATGTTTTATATTTATGTTCAACTGATTATTATTTTTTTGTTAGAAATAAACATCTGGTATAGTAAACTAACCGTTCACAAAAACGAAATAATAATTCATGTTCATCGAGACTGATGCCATACTTATTATCTGAACACATCTGGCAACTGATTGAACTTCATTGTACACATATTCGAAATAGAAGAAAAATAACTTCTAACAGTCTCATATTATATCATCATTCAGCTACTGTGTTAAATAAAACTCAATAATGTTCATTAAAGAAAAAAATCAATGTCTTTGAACTCTATAGGTCGTGACAACTTTCGAATTTTATTTTGTATTTCTGTATTGTTGATAACACGCGTGTACGGCAAATGTTCAGTGTTCATGTAATACTCTTGAGAGATTTTTTTTTTGAGCGATGTAAATATCGACCTAATCGTTATTCGTGAAATAAAATGATGTTGATAATAATAATCATCAAAAAACGTTTTAATTCATTCTATCTAATTAAAACAGTCTTACGTTTAAGTCATAAGTTCTTTAATTGGACTGTAGTATTTAGCAGATGCTTTTAGAATTGAAACTTTTTATCACGCTAAATTATGTGAATATTTAGATATAATTAAAGTTACGCTCTTGTTTCATTCATTTTTCTAGTACAGTTTTTTCATACTGATTTTAACAGAGCAAAAACCAAGTTATGTATGTTTTCTTTCTTTCTTTCTTGTTTGTTAAAAGCAGATCCTTGTTATGCTATTTACAAAAATAGTACTTAGTATTCCTTAATAAAGAAAAGAGTAGATAAGATGGTAATTTGCGAACGAAGACGCAAGACTGATATGTAAATAAGTACCAAGTGATACATGTTGTTTACATAAGTAATAAATATGAGTTAGTATCCAAAATTTCGCTTGTTCGAACGTTGGTTGATAGCACCATTTTGTCAACACTACTTCTTAATTAAAACATGTTCCAGAGAGATTTTACTTACAGTTTAATTCTATCTTTAGTTCTAATTTCCTATTTTAATTGATCTAACGAGAAAATTCTCCAGGTAATAAATCGTTTTTCCATTGATATATCTCGATTATAGAGCAGCTCGAGTTACATCTGTAGAAAAGTTTTCAAATCGAGAAAACAAGTTCTCATGAAAATACAAAAATTTTTTATTTTTTAATTCAAA